AGGGTTTAGGGTTTAGGGTTTAGGGTTTACAAGGTCTCGAGCATCCGCTCGCCGGTCGGCGGCCACCAGACAATCGGCTGCCTCCTCCCACATCTGCAGCTCCGTGAACTTCTCAGCAGCCTGAACCCACAAACCCTAAACCCTAAATCGTAAACCTTAAACCCTAAATCATAAACCCTAAACCCTAAACCCTAACCACCAAGAGCGACAACCCCTAGATCTAAACTGGTTTGTGGAAGCTTGCTGGTGAGGCCCCAAACTACAGGAGCTACCCACTGCTAATCTTTAGCCTTTAATTCTGCCTCTAAACCCTAAACCCTAAACCCTAAACCCTCACCGTAATGGTAGCGCCGATACGCATCATTCTTACAGCTGCGAAAAGCAAAGCCGCATCCACATTCAAACAGAAAACCCTAAACCCTAAACCCTTTTGTTTTGGAGCTGCGGACAGCACAGCCTTCCTGGCTAGCTTTCTAATGTGCATTCTACGCCCGAAACCCTAAACCCTAAACCCTAGAACTTTTCCCTCACCAACTTCGCGCTGCAGCTCCCACCAATTGAGGAGGTCCGCGTGAAAAAGCAAGCCGAAGAGGCGGAAGCAAGCCGGTGGGTCCGCATCTGCGGCGCAAATCCTAAACCCTAAACCCTAAACCCTAAACCCTAAACCCTAAACCTTAATCCCCCGGTCTTCGACCCTCCACCCTCATGTAGCTAGACCCTTTCCCCGCCATCTCAAGTCCAAACCCGTAAACCTTGAAGGCGCGCATGCTGTCGCGCTTAGGGTTTAGGGTTTAGGGTTTAGGTTTTAGAGAAGACGTGTGAACATCAGGGCTTTGGGCAGGTTGTTGTTTCGCAGCAGCCTGTGAAGCTGTGGAACATAGGGTTTAGGGTTTAGGGTTTAGGGTTTCGGTACCATCAAGCTGCTCTCTAAGCGCATGCAGCTGCAGCACTGCTCTTTCTACTGTCTTTACTCTGTGAAACTCCGCGCGACAGCGCAGCAGCAACCCCGAAGAAAAGACACTCCAATCAGGGGCAGAGACAATACACTCGGGTTCAGCAACAAACAAGTAGTCCGGTTGTTTAGATAAAACCTCCAAACGACGCCTGTAATACGCCTGGTTCTTGCTGCTGCTGCTGCTGCTGCTGCTGCTGCTGCTGATGGGGGGAGGCAGCACCAATGCGCGAGACACCACCGCTGCAACCTCCTCCAATGCTAACGGGTCGTTGCCTTAAGCGCAATGCGCACAAACCCTAAACCCTAAACCCTAAACCCTAAACCCTAATCCCTGGATCTCAAGGGTTACTGTTCAGCGGATGCCCTCAACCCTCCTGCAAACCCTCGGCTGTCCGTTGCTAACACCACACCCTCTGGAAACTAAACCCTAAACGCCAAACCCTAAACCCTAAACACTAAGCCCTAGAGAAAAAACCCGCAGGCCGCTAACACAATATCCTACGCAGTAGAACCTGGAGGCCCCACCCTACACCCTAAACCCTATCCTCCGTCCTCTACCCTAAACCCTAAACCCTAAACCCTAAACCATAAGCACGTACAAGGGTTGCTTTCAATTATCGCCCGGGATTTGGCGAGGAGCAGCGCCTGCTCAACAACTCCAAGGGGTTTCTCAAAAGACTCGCGATCCGCTCTGCATCTCACACGCAGCTCAGTTGACACCCAAACCCTAAACCCTAAACCCTAAACCCTAAACCTTAAACTCTAAACCCTAAAACCTAACCCCTAAACCCTAGATGTACCCCTGTTCAAGTTTGGGCATTTCCATGATGTCGTTGTCTTCACGAACGTCTTCGAGTCTCCACACCCTCCTGGGTTCTTCTGGCGCCTGTGGGGCCTCAGAAGAATCCGCAGAAGGCTCCTCATTGCTGTTGCTGTTGTTGTTGCTGCTGTTGCTGCTGCTGCTGCTGTTGTTGTTGCTGCTGTTGCTGCTGCTGCTTTTGCTGCCGGTGTGTTTGGCCGTGTGTCCGGTGAAAGGCCCTTCTTCGGATGGTAATGAGAGGGCCCTACACTCCCCTGTTCCGCGTTTATCTGCTGCTGCTGCAGCAGCAGCAGGAGCAGAAGCAGGAGCAGCAGCAGCAGCAGCAAACCCTTGTCCTGTGCTGTGTGAGGCCCCAACTACCAGCTGCGGCAGCGCCTGCTGCTGATACCTCCGCCGTACGCCCAGCGCACCCGTGAGAGTAAACTCCACCCCGTATGTCTCGCAAGCCATCTCTGAGGTGTATGCGCACCCAAACCCTAAACCCTAAACCTTAAACCCCCAAACACTAAACCCTAATTCCCCAACCACACACCCTGCAGTGAAGCGCAGAGGGAAACTCAAAGTGATAGCCGAAGGCCTGAGGTCTACAGTGCATTTGGGCACCAACTAGGGTCTAGGGTTTAGGGTTTAGCGTTTAGGGTTTAAGTCTCACTGTTCACAGCGTCAAACACCTCCACCCGCCCCAAAACCGCCAGCCGAAGTCCCAGCTCCAGCAGCAACAAAGTCTTGTCGCGGATTGTCACTGCAACGCAAACCCTAAAACCCTAAACCCTAAACCCTAAACCCTTCATGAGCGCAAACCCTCCATGCCAACTTCCAAACCCTAAACCCTACACCGAAGTTGCCGTTAGTCTTCAAGTCCCCTATTTCAAGTCCTATGCTCTAAATCCTAAACCCTAAACCCTAACCCCTCACTCCATGCTGGGTCTGGGAGAAGGTAAGCGAGATCTAGGCGGCTTGGGTCGTTATCTGAGAAGCGCAGCAGTAGTCGTTCTGTTTGCTTCTCTGCTGCTGCATCTGCTGCTGCTGTTGCATCTGCTGCTGCTGCTGCTGCTGCTTCTGCACCTCCAGCTGCAGCATCAGGTGGAACCTTGCGGTCAGCATCACCTCCAGCACCCCCCTCAGCAGCAGCAGCAGCAGCAGCAGAGAGGGGAGGCCGCTTAAGGGGAGGCAGCATAATGAATTTGCTTTGTTCATCAAGCAACAAGAAAGAAACATCATTTAAAAAGTCTCGAGCTTCTTTATCAGTTTTTCTTCCGAAGTCGCCAGCCCTCAACATACACTCCACGCCTCTTGCTTCTAAAGATGTGCAGCTAAACTCAGCAGGCAGCAGCTGCGCAAACCCACAATCCCTAAACCCTAAACCCTAAACCCTAAACCCCAGAAGGGATATTTAGACTCCCTCATCTTCGTCCTCTACAATTTGAGGGGCGTAGGGTTTGTGAGGGTTTATTAGGGTTTATCAATCTTCTATTAGGGTTTACTAATGTTTAATAAATAAAGCATGAGGCTTTTATTAGGGTTTGTCAATGTCGATAAGGTCTTTATAACTAGGGTTTACTGGGGTTCTAGGGTTTTAGGGGTTTAGAAGTTAGGCCACATGAATTAGGGTTTAAAAACCCTAATTCATTACAGTTTCTACGGGGTTTACGAAGTAAGGTTTATGAATTAGGGCTTACGAATTAGGGTTTGCGGACTAGGGTTTACGAATTAGGGTACCCGAATTAGGGTTTATGGAGTAGGGTTTACGAATTAGGGTTTATGAATGAGGGTGTACGGATTAGGGTTTATGAATTGGGGTTTACGGATTAGGGTTTAAGAATGAGGGCTTACGGATTAGGGTTTACGGATTAGGGTGTACGGATTAGGGTTTATGAATTAGGGTTTGCTTGCCTGTAGCTGTTGAAGCACAGCAGCAAATTGAAAAAGAAGTGAAGAAAGAAGAGATGGAGCAAGGGCCCCTCTGAGGGCCCCTGAGGCCCCCCCCCCTCCTCTGAGGGATCTCTGCAACACGAAGTCTGCTCTAGACAGCCAAACAAACAAACTGAAGGGGCCCCCAACCCCTATTGCTTCTTGAGGTAAGGCTGCTGCTGCTGCTGCTGCTGCTGATGCAGGTGAAGCAGGTGCTGCAGCAGCAGCAGCAGCTGCTGCTGCTGCTGCAGCAGTTGCTGCATTCGACTGCCCATGGCTGCGCAAACCCTCAAACACTAAATGCGCAAACCACAGATATGCAACGCCACGAACACCTTCGTATACAGGCTGCATACAAGCACACAAACCCTAAACCCTAAACCCTAAACCCTAAACCCTCGTGAGCTTTCCCTAGGGGCAGCACAAACATCGCGACAACAATATTAACAGTCTACGGTGTAGAACTTAATATTGTTTATCACGGATTAGGGTTTTCTAGTTGGGGTTTACTAACTAGGTTTGTGTAATAGGGTTTATTAATCAGGGTTTCGTTATTAGGGTTAGATAAACGAGGGTTTATGAGTGATGCTGCATAATTCAGGGTATAAAATTAGGGTTTAGGAGTGAGGGTTTCATCCCCCGGGGTTTAATAATTAGGGTTTACGAATGCGGGTATATCCCTTGGGTTTTATGAATTAGGGTTTACGAACTAGGGTTTAGGGTTTACAGGGTTTCCGAATTAGCGTTTAGGGTTTAGGGTTTAGGGATTACAGGGTTTCCGAAGTAGGATTTAGGGTTTAGGGTTTAGGGTTTAGGGTTTATACCTCGCCGTCAACTGTGAGAAAGGGCTGAATGAAGACCAGCCTCTCTCTTGTTTTATTTGCTGCCTCTTCGGGGTCTCCTAAGACACAAAATTGTTTTAGAGATAATTCACAGTAGCAGCGCCGCTGCTTTGCTGTTGCTGTTGCTGCTGCTGCTGCTGCTGCTACTGCTGCTGCAGCCTCCTCTCGAGGGCAGAAGCCGCAGTACACGCAGCAGCAACTACATCCAGAAACTCCAACACCTGCTGCTGCTGCTCCTGCTGCTGCTCCTGCTGCTGCTGCTGCTGCTGCTGCTGATGGTTTAGGGGGGTATAGATCTGGATGCTTCGCTCTCCCTTCTTCCTCTCGTTTTATATCTACTAACTCTGTTGCTTTGCAGGGACTGAAGGGTGGCCCCGTCAAGTTTGCCTGCACACAAACCCTAAACCCTAAACCCTAAACCCTAAACCCTAAATTCTAGCTTGGTGTTCTACCGCCTTGGGTATAGGGCGAAGGAGGAATCTATCTGTACCAAGGGGCTGAAGGGTTAATGAAATTGAGGGTTTAGGGTTTAGGGTTTACTTGACTGAAGACGAGCAGCGCCGCAACACCCACAAGAAGGAGGCAACGCGAGCGAATCCATTGCAGCAGAGGGGGCCCCTCATTTAAGCATTTGAGGGCCCCTATCTTAAGGGTCTCTTCAATATTACATTCAGATTCCCTAATGGGGCCTTCGGGGGCCCCATGGGGCCCCTCCTTCTGACTGGGGGCCCCCTGGCTACTATCCTGGGCCTCTTGGGGGTCCCCTGCAGGCCCTTCTTGTCCGTCCCTTCGGGGGCCCTCTGGGGGCCCATTTGGGGGCCCCTCTAAGGGTTCTTTGTGAAGGGTTTGAAGGTGACGGTTGGCCCACCCGCGAGTGAAAATAGAGCGCCAGCGGCAGCGGCGTAGCCATAGACATAAATCGCAGAATTGAGTGAATTCTGAACAAAAACCCTAAACCCTAAACCCTAAACCCTAAACCCTGAATCCTGAATCCTGAAGGGCAGTGGCAGACCAGAGCTGGGAGCGGCAGAATAGGGGTTCAGGTTAAAGGCTTCGACTGTAGGGGTGGAAAGCTGATATTCGCTGCCGAGGGTTTAGGGTTTAGGGTTTAGAGCTGGGGGATAGCTTGTTTGACGAGAGGGTGTTCTTCAGGCTTGAAGTCTTCTATGGTTTAGGGTTTAGGGTTTAGGGTTTAGGGTTTGCGGGTACCTTGTCTGGTTAGAGTGCGTTGTTGAGGCGTGATAAAGTGTCTTAGGGTTTTGGGTTTAGGGTTTAGGGTTTAGGGTTTGCGGGTACCTTGTCCAACTACGGGAGATTGTTGAGGCGTGATGAAGTGTCTTAGGGCTTATGATTTAGGGTTTAGGGTTTAGGGTTTAGGGTTTAGGGTTTGCGGGTACCTTGTCTGATGAGAGTGCGTTGTTCAGGTGTGAAGCTGTCTTCTTGTAGTTTTGTTTCTACTGTCTGCTGCAGCAGCAACAGGGTTTGAGTAAAACCCTTGAGGGAGCGAGAGGGCCCCAGGAGCTCCGCCTCCACCCTCCAGAACGCCTCCCCCAAGCTAGCCTCCATCCTCAAACCCTAAACCCTAAACCCTAAACCCTAAAACGTAAACCCTAAAATGCAAACCCTTGAAGAGAGAGCTGCAGACCTATGCGTCTTGCAACGCAAACCCTAAACCCTAAACCCTAAACCCCTAACCATCAAATACAATTTCCAGCCAACAGAAAAGCTGCAGCTTCCTGTAGAAGATGCACAAAATGGGCC